TCATGTAACAATCCAAACACGGGTCATCAATAATTTTTTTTTAAAATAGTACAGGTTCCCACCGTACCCCAAATTTATTTTGGTTTTTTTTTTTTTTATTAAAGTTGCATTGATTTTTTTAATAGTTAAATTGATATTCTTTTAAATTTGCAACCAGGAGTATTAATTTGATTTAGATTTGAAAAATATCTATTTGGTTGTTATTTAACTTGTGTGGTTTAGAATTTAAAAAATATGTATATATCTTATTTTTGATATTTTGAGATAAATGTTTTATATATCTTGATCTAAAAAGATTATTGATTTATATGCTCGTGTTAACAAAATAACGCGAAACAATGGGAATACAAATAAACAATTTTTTTTTTTCGTTTTGTTTTTTTGATAAGGTAAAAATAAAGGAGTGTACTTGCGTTGTATTTATATGTATAAAATTGTATGAGATTACCATAATGTCCTTTGAGAGGTAAAATTGTATAAAATTGAAGTAAAAAATGGTGTAAGCAAAGAGAGGTAAAATTGAGAAAATTGGGCAGGGTTTTTATGGGGTTGTTTTTCAAACCTAACAAATTTTGTACGGTTTAATAGTAAAATTCAAAATCCAACTCTTTAGGAGAAAAATCAAACAATCAAATCCAAAGGGAAATAAAATAACTTATTTGTTTCGTATTTTTCAGAGGGCTAAGCCAAATTATTCAAATAGAAAAGATTTTATATTTTTGAAATTAAAAATATTTTCTTTGACGAAAGAAATGAATTAAACTCATAATTAGAATATGATTAAAACATGAAGAAGATATGACAAAATAAATCAATATACCTCTGATTCCTATTCAATGAGAACATGGAAACTCATAGCTTTGAAAATGACTTTGACTTTGCATCCTAAATCACGTGTAGCGTGAGTGTCAAATGTTGAATGAGAATGAAAGAAATTTTAGTTATCGTCACTGTTGGGTGCAAAAATATGATCTATCATGTGGCAAGATCATATACGGCCGACCTCATCATCTCATCTACTTAAATTCATATATAAAGAGCTTCTAAGCTCATTTACGAAATAGCTCCTAAGCTCATCTACGGTCGAGCTCTTAAGTCCATCTAGGAAGAACTCTTAATCTAGGAAGAGCTCTTAAGCTCATTTACGGAAGAACTCCTAGGCTCATCTACGGAAGATATTTAAGTCCATCTAAGAAGAGTTCCTAAGCTCATGCATCTATGGAAGAGCTCCTAAGCTCATCTACGGAAGATCTTAAGTCCATCTAGGAAGAACTCTTAAGCTCACCTACCGAATAGCCCCTAAGCTCATATAGGAAGAGCTCTTAAGCTCATCCACGGCCGAGCTTCTAAAGGACAAGCTTTGACGTCATGTGGTTCCATCGACAATTCAATATTGGAGGGCAAACTATCCTAGGCTAAGCTGTTCTCGAAGAATCATAGGCCGACCTCTGAGGTCAACCCTAGTTACTTAGACGCGATGAGAACCTTCCAAGTAGTATGGTCTAAGGCAGGGATAAATCCAGAGACCAACACGGACCAATGGTCCGTAGCAGGTTACCTGACCCAGAGCAGTGAAATACCTCGATGGGATGGTTAACTACTCCTCAAATCCCTATAAATACACCTCCACTCCACCCACTAAGGTATGAAAATCTGTCTGACGCTGATCAGTTGAGCTCGAATTATTACTGACTTGGGCGTCGGAGTGGCCTACCTGTTTTGCAGGTACCCCTGAAGAATATTCCAAGTGTTGTCAGCCGACCTCCCAAGTTGTCCTCCGTTCGTTCGCAGATTTTTACATCAACAGTCACTTTAATAATAAAAATATTAAAAAAACTTGAGTTTTACTTAATTATTTTCTTTAATTATATTTATTGAATTTTCTTATATTGATATGTTTCGCAAATTCAATTGTGCATTTATTGGGAACCGACTATATGTGCTTATCTTTGGAAGGTGTTTATTTAGTGTGGCTAATCTTGTGGATTGTTCATGGTGTAATATTTTGAGAGAGAGATTTTTATGTAATTGGAAAAGTTGGTAGAAACCTTTTATGTCTTAGGCGAAGACTCTTAATACGAAATAACAAATGGTTAGGGAGAGGAAATGTTCCTTTTTTTAGGGTACTCTAGGAAATAGTGGAGACGGGAACCACGGTGTTGTGGTCCAAATCCCTCCTCATCCACAAACCCACCAAAAAAGGAAGGACTTTCCCCTCTAAGGGTAGGAAAATCATGATTGGAATAGTGGACCTAAAATTAAGGAACTTGGATGGGGTCTTTTGTCGAAATTGAATGACTTTATCTTTTTATTTTTTCGTTAACGGGTTAAGGCAGAGCTCCGTTATAAATTAAATATTCATCCACGATTGAAGGGTGTTTAAGCGGTAGTCTGTATACAATGGGAGCACGTGTTTGAAAAGATTCAATCAAAGTAGGAGTCAATCAAGTATTGTAACATGATTTAAGAAGTGAGTGTTTTATACATAAATCAATTATTGATGATAAACTTTACTTACTTTTGATTGCTAATGTTATTTTCTGGATGTGGCCTCGTAGAGTAGGTTTGAAAATCAGGCATAATTCACAATCATAATTGATAATAACTTCTATATTATCTTTTAATTCACAATTATAATTGATAATAACTTCTAGATTTTTTAATAGTTTAATAACTTCTAGATTTTTTAATAGTTTAATATTTTAAGCATGGTAATTAGATCCTTTCAGAAAAGATTGCAATGAAATTAATGATAGAGCTATAAGAGGGAAAATTGAGAGATTCAAAGAGAGAAAAAGGAACAAGTAAAGAATAGCAAGAAAAAGAAAGGAGGAAGATGAAAGAAATTATGATTTGTAGAGAAAAAATAATAATAATTGAGAGAGAGAAAAAAAAAAGAAATAATGGGGAAAAAAATTGAAGGATGCTGAAAACAAAAAAGAAAATAGAGGATAAGAAGAGATAGATAATTATGGTCCTGAAGACACCGATGGAAACCCACGGAACATAATTCAACAGTTAAGGTGAGAGGTTTAATTTCCAATCCTCACATTTGTTGTATAGAAAAAAACATCATTTGATTATATATATAAAAGATGTCATAATGAGCTGTATAGAAAAAGACAGCGAGAGAGAAGTTGTGTGGGTATACAAAATAAATAAATAAATAAATAAATAAATATATATATATATATATATATATATATATATATATATATATATAAAGATGTCCTGATGAGCTGTATAGGGAGAGACTGCGAGAGAGAAATTGTGTGGGGTATACAAAATAAACAATACGACTCGTGAAAGTGTACTTTGTGTCGTAGGTATAGGTATGAAATTGTATGAGATTACAATAATGTCTTTTGACATTTAGATAACAAATAGGTCTACATATTTTTAGATAACAATTTTTTTCTTCTGGATTGTCTTAGAGATAGGAAAATCAAGAGGAATGAAATGAATTTTCAATCTAACTAATTTTTCTCATTTTAAATTATTCACTTTTTGTTTTTCACAATTTAATTGTTTTGGTTTCATTCCCTTTATATTAAAAGATTTTTCTAAATTATAATACAAATGTATTTTTTTAATTCATAGATATATAATTTTCAATTATTATTGAAAAATATAGATTTATATGAATTATAATTCAATGTTATGTATACCTACTCTTTTTCTACGTACATATATGTTATATAAATAAAATAAAGTTTTATTTAATGATTTAAGTTTGACATTTTTCATTTTGTTTGTCATTAGATAGAATTTTAAGATTACGTAGTAAAAATAAAGAAAATAAACCATATATAATTGTAATCCTAACTCACTTAAATGTTTAAAAATATTCATAAAATAATATAACTTAAATTTCAATTTTATAATCCATAGAAACAGATTTTTATTGAAAAATTATTATAACCTAACTGTAATGGTAACTTTTACAAAGTATATATATATATATATATATATGACATAACTCCACAATTAATAATTTGCACCTTTAACAAAATAGAGGAGTTATTCTGAAACTTCAACACAGAGATTTAGGACTTATTTGGTTGGAAACTTTGATTTTTTTTTTTTTTTAGATTCACTGAATCAAAATGAATTTAGTGAATATGAGTTTTGAAAACTGTTTTCGAATTCTATGATCCAAATAGTAGAAATGAAAACGACTTTTTAATGTTTTCATTATTATCAGATTCAGACTTTGAAATTTTTAAGATGTAGAATTACATTAAAAAGAATAAAACCTTTGATAAATATATTACTTCATATTATAAACTCATTTTATGTTTATAAAATTAAAATATGTAAAATATAATGTATCCTAAATTATATAACATGGTAAAATAATAATTATAAATTTTAATAAATTAATTAATATAAATTTAGATTAAAGTAAATATTTAATTTGTGACTAGTTTACAAATATATTACTAAATAAACAATTTTTTAAATTGAAATTCAATTATCAAATCTGCTACCAAATACATGTATGAAAATAGTGAAAATAAATAATACAATTCTAATTTTTATATTCAGATTTATGTTTTCTGATTACGATCACGACCTTTAACGACTGGACACCCCGTTGAAAATGTATACATCTAATGATAAAAACAAAAACCAATAAATGACATCGTTCACCCAAATTTTCAAAAAGGCATCTTCTTTCTTCTCTTCGATTTCGAACGAGACCCTATCCTACGTCTACAATGGTAACTGAAAACACGAAGGAGTGGAACAATTGTTTTCCACACTGACTGAATATTTTTGCTCAAAGTGATGTAATCTCTATTTAATTTAATTATACCTTTCTTTCTCAAAACCAAAAAAAATATATATATATATATATTAATAATAAATAATAAATCTGAAAAAACAAAAAAAAAATAATAATAAATAATAAATCTGAAAAAAAAAAACACCCTTTATATCAATTTTCCCTTATATTATCCGCTTATTTTAGATATGGGCCGTGGGCTTTGGCCCGTGAGACTTGACGTCATCTTAAACCCACACGAGGTTTTTCGCAGGAACATCCAGCACCGCCCATGGTGGAGCTCCCGTCGGCGAATCGATTTCTCCAACCATCGGTGACGAAGATCAGAGAAACTCCTGCTGGCCGGCCGTCTGAGTATCGCGAAATGCTCAATTTCTATCTTTCTTCTTGCATCAGTCGAGAATTTAGAAAGGGAACTTACATATATTGGAAAATTTTCGATTGCGATTCAGTTTTTGCCGGCGAACTCGTCTGAAGTTCCTCAGGGCCACCTCTCAAGTGTCAATGCCTCTCACCTACCCGAGATAACTCGAAGTTCAAGCCAGGTGAATAACCCTTACTTTGCTTGGCACTGCTTCTTTGTTCGAATTTGAGATTGTGGAGATGTGAATTAGAATAACGAGAGGACGAAAAAGAGGGTCACATGAATTGAGTAGAGCATCTATAGCCGTAGCCATTGTTTTTCATTTTGTATACATTGGATAAATCTTTATGGTTCATCAAGCTACAAGTAATGGAAGTGCTTTCCTGAGAAAATTCCAGTGGTAGCAAATCATATTGATTTAAGGGCTTATGTTGTGGTCCATTCCATGCATTATTCTAATAGTTTCTCTTTACTTCTGAGTAATTATGTGGTTATCTCTGCCATCCGGAAAAAGATTTATCATAATATTTCAATTAAAGCTTTGCATTCCTTACGGCAATATAAACAAGAGAAACCCATCAAATTATTCAGTAGAAAATTGAGGAAAGGAGCTAAGGTAGTTGAGAAGGAAGAAGTTGATCCAAAGCTTTACACGAGAGACACAGTTAGGAATATATATAACATTCTGAGAAATTTCTCTTGGAGTTCTGCTCAAGAACACCTAGAGAGGCTCCCTATGAGATGGGATTCTTATCTCATCAACCAGGTTATGAAAACTCATCCACCATTGGAGAAGGCATGGCTGTTCTTCAATTGGGCCTGTAGGCTGCGCACCTTCAAGCATGACCAGTATACTTACACGACGATGCTGGATATTTTTGGAGAAGCTGGGAGGATTTCTTCCATGAATTATATATTTCAACAGATGAAGGAGAAGGGGATAAAGATAGATGCAGTTACTTATACTTCATTAATGCACTGGCGTTCGAAGTCAGGGGATGTTGATGGGGCTATAAAGGTCTGGAAAGAAATGAAAACCAATGGATGCTATCCAACAGTAGTTTCATATACTGCTTATATAAAAATTTTGTTGGATAATGACCAAGTTAAGGAGGCCACTGATACATACAAGGAGATGCTTCAATCGGGGCTTTCTCCAAACTGCTGTACTTACACTGTCTTAATGGAATACCTCATTGGAGCTGGTGAGTTTCTCTGCTCTTCCTTACTAGTGACCTGTTTTTTCTTTTCGTAAGGTTCTTATCTCAATTGTTTTTTGCATTAACCTTCCAGGTAAATGCAAAGAAGCCCTTGATATTTTCCACAAGATGCAAGATGCTGGCGTATATCCTGATAAAGCTGCTTGCAATATATTGATTCTGAAATGCTGTAGATCGGGGGAGATGCTGGTAATGACACCAATCCTTGAGTACATGAAAGAAAACCGCTTTGTCCTTCGATACCCTGTGTTTGTTGAAGCACATCAAACTTTAAAAAGTTGCTCTGTTAGTGAGACCCTACTCAGGCAAGTTAATCCTCATATTGAAACTGAATCAGTCAGTAAGGATGAGGTTATCCATGTCATTACAAGTTCTACTATTATTCCTTCCAATGTAGATCATGAGCTTATGGAAATTCTGTTGAAGAAGGAAAAACTTATTGCTGTTGACTACCTACTCACTGGGATGGTAGATAAGAACATTCAATTGGATTCTGCAATTATCTCAACCATCATAGAGGTAAATTGCAAACATAATAGGCCCGATGGGGCTCTGTTGGTTTTCGACCACTGTTTAAAAAGCGGAGTTAACATGAAGAGAAATCTTTATCTTGGCTTGATAGGGGTTCTGATCCGGTCAAGTATATATTCAAAGTTGCTGGAAATTGTTCTGGAAATGTATAGGCAAGGGCATTGTCTTGGACTGTATCATGCCACGCTTATACTTTATAGACTTGGCAAAGCTGGAAAACCCCAATATGCTGTGAAAATTTTTAATGTGTTGCCTGAAGAATTGAAGTGCACTGCAACTTACACTGCTCTGGTCGGTGCTTATTTCTCTGCTGGAAGTTCTGGTAAAGGGCTTAAAATTTACGAAACCATGCGAAAGAAAGGGTTTTCACCGTCTTTGGGCACATATAATGTGCTGTTAACTGGTCTTGAGAAGAGTGGTAGAGTCGTTGAATTAGAAATTTACAGAAGGGAGAAGAAGAGTTTCGAGATTGGTTATAATTCTCATCATCATATAATACTGGAGGAAGATAGGATTTGTGATCTTCTTTATGGAGAAATGATATCTTGACTTGTCAATAAAGATATTTTCTGCCTTGATTCTGGTTGCGGGATGCTCACTCACTCGTGCTTGTGGCTGCTTACCAACTCATGCTTGTGACTTTTGCTTTTTCTGGTGAGTATGGTATAGGTTTTAATTTGGTTTTAGTGGTTGAAAATTTACCCATTTTTATTTTGATTTAACTTTTTGGGATTTTCATTTGAGCTAAATCATAATGACAAAAGGCTTTAGGCAAGGTTCACCAAGAAGTGAAATATCTAACACGATCCCAAAGAAACTCCCAGCTGGACTCATCTCCTATAAAAACCCAGTTATTTCTTGCAAACCATAATCTCCAAATGATGGCCTTCACCACGTTTGCGCAAATGATTCTCAGCTTTGCTCTTGAAGGGCCCCTGCTACTAGCTGAAAGTTAAAAAAGAATAGACTATAGACACAAAATTAAAAATTTATGGACTGATTAGACACTTTTTAAAGTTGATGGAGATAAAAAGAAAAATGAGTAACGCTAGACAAGTAGTGTGCCAAAAACGTTCTTTTGCTTGTCCTTCCTAACTCCTAAGAGTGGGGAGAGCACCAACTATTCTCTTGCCTCTTTTACTTCAAGCCTTCTGCATTGGTGGGATTGCTTGGTTGGGTTGGCTTTGTCTAGAATAATGAAGGCCCACATTTACAAATATAGCAAACAAAAAACAATGTTATACATAGCAAAACTAGAAAACTTCACATACCTGGCATAACACTAAAAAACAAAAATACCTTCCCTTCCCAAGTGATGAATATTAACATTGCATATGATTATTTATCTTTATGAAAAATGCACTCTCTCAAATAAACAAAACAAGCATGTACCTAATGCACACTCTTGCCTAATTTTCTTCACCGTCTTTCTCACCATCAACAACGAAACAATTACCTCCTGCTATCTCTCTGAACAATGAAAACAAAACAGTTGCATCCATTTGATGACAACAACGAATAGGGTGTAGGTATCGACTAAAACTTGTTCCAAACTTTAGTTATTGATTTTCAATGGTACGATTTGAAAAAAGAAAAGGAAAAAAAAAAAAGCTGTTGACCATCAATGAAAAGTCATCAGCATAATTTAAAACTGATTGTGCTGAAACCTTAAGCACTCCAACTTTCACATGTATGAAAATGCTTGCAGGCAATTTTCTTTATTCAATTTCTTACTCTGGAATAGCAAACATACTCTCTCTATGTCTATTTACAAACATAAATAGCAAATACATTTTCTTTGTTGATTACTTTATTATTCTGTGTGTGACGCCTGAATAGAGGGGTGTTTAAATGAACCGATACTATATCCGAATAAGAGAGATCTTAAGACTGTGAAAATATGGTAAAGAAAGACTTAAAAAAATTGATATTATTACTTGTACTGATAATAGGAATTCTAAAGTTAAGTTTGCATGACCTTTAGCAATCATGTGTTGGGTGATTTCTTAGCGAAGTTTCTTAGGAAGCATGTGATTGAGAAAAACATGCAGAAAGAATCCGTGTTGGTCTGCGAGAGCAGTTCTCGCTCTCAAGAGCAGCTTAGGACAATCAGGCAACACGTTCATGTCGCGGAGATGTAGGAGAATGTTGGGGCTGTTAGATGTTGATTTCAGATTCTAAATCTTAGTTTGAATCTTTAGGCCCAGGGCGTTACACTGTGCATCATACAATTTAGGGTTTTTTCTTTTAACTTCTTATTGTGTCTGACATTTAAAATGCTATTCTATTTAATCATTGATGTCCATTTGTTTATGTCTATGTTAATAAGTATAATGCATTTCCTTTTGATTCTCTATCGGAGTTCCATAGAATTCAAGTCATTTATCTCCTGTAAGTAATTTTTGTTATTTTATTGTGATTCAATATATCTCATTCCCAAATGGTTACCAACTAGAAATAGTATACCAATATAGGTTCATTCTTTTGCTTGTATTATACATTTACTTTATATGTGTGTTAATTTTATTTATCGACTTATCCAATCTCAACAGAACATAGAGGAGAGAGAAGGAGAAAGAACCAAAAGTGAAAGAATCATCATATAAGAGGAAAATTTTCTCAGTAATCTCAACTATAATTCAGAGGATGAAATATATAAAGTAAGTATTCAAATTACCCGTTGGGTATTGGCATAGTGGCAAGAGGCTTGGGTGGTGTTGACACTCACGATTAAAGATCGAGCATGTCTAGAAATAAAAAAAATTACATTTATAAATTCGTAGATACACTGTCATCAATATTCAATACATAACTTTGGAAGTGCAATTACCGAATACATAACTTTGGAAGTGCAATTACCTATTGTTGGATAGTATATCTTTGCAACATATCATTGTCATTACTATACATATATTATCAAAGAGTTGATATTATTGTCATTAACATAATGTACGAGCTTACAATTATTGCTTCTTTTTTCTTTTCTTTTTTGAAGGACTACCTGATGTTGCTTCCCAATTTGTCAAGGCTGTCTAGAGAAGGGCATTTCTGACAAGTTTGGCTTTAAGGTTAGAAAGTTTCTTACACACCTATTGCTTCATATAATTAGATGATAATGCAAAAGAATTAAACCTCACATAGTCAGCTAACTTAACCTAGATGAAAATTTTAGTTCATTTCGAACCATTCAAGGAGAAAGAAAAAGGGTATTTCAAGACACGTGAAAATTTTGGTAGAAGAAATTTGTACCATATTACTTGATGTGATGGCCTAGTTGACAAATTTGTAGCTTTTGAAATCTTTAAATTACCACGCAACAAAGTGGACCTTAAATATGAAGGAATGGTGAATAACAAATAGGTTAGATTATAAATTTGGTTCGTACGGATTGAGCATAATTTCAATGTGATCTTCATGATTTTGAAAGCTTCAATTTAGTTCATATGATTTGAGTCTAGTTTCAATTTGATTTTAGTTTCAGTTTAGGTTTAGTAAGACCTCAGACATCATCTTTGCTATTGATATTTTCAACTTGGGCCGGGTCTCCCGAGGCGAGGTACATATGGCCGGCTAACTATGTTAGTCGACCTTATTTTGGATTTAGGGTAAGTAAAAATAGAAGAAATAGGGACCAAATCGAAACTTTATCTAAACCATAAGATAAACGGCATAAAAATGACTTTTCGTGTGGTAGATCAACAAATTTCCATGCTACCATAATTTGAATCGATTATGTAGAATACATTAAGAAAAGTGTGAATAGTATGCATCGAGAGATCGTGGAATTACGAGAGTTCTCTCATATCTTAATGTGTCAGCCCTATGAAATTATTTTCAGGCTGTCACTATCAGAGATATATAGGGAAGAAGACAGGACAAGGAACAATTATAATGCTCGGTTGGTAATTAAATGAACAATCGAATGGAAAGAATTGAATGAGATCTTCATTGTGAAGGATCTAATTTCAATGAAAGAATAGAAGATTTTGAAAATCGTTAAAGAATTTGGTGAAGAAAGCGGTGGAATTTGATGGATGGGGAGACTTCCAAGTTCCATTCAAATTTAAATTATACATGTTTTTTGTATGAAAATTAGTAGTTATATTATTTACTAATTTATTATTATTATTATTATTATTTTACAAAATGTTATATTTTTTATTAGTAATCTAATAGAAAATGTCAATAAATATATGTTCATTATTATTATTTTTTAAAAAAAGAGGTTAAAATACTATTTTGATTCATATAATTTTAGCTTCGGTTAATTGTGGTCACTAACCAATCGGCAATGAGAGGAGTAGGGTCTCCCAAAAGACAATGGTAGTTTTCCAATCTCAAACTAACATGATAGCCTTCCAATCTTAGGTTCCATCTCAAAACCAATTAGCAATGAGAGGAATAGTTCATGTCTATTATAAACTATTCTTAGGTTCAGGGCTGGCTTAAGTTATAGACGAGTGGGGAGATCGCCTAAGGCCCTGTTTTAGTAGGGCCTCATATTTTCATGTAATATATAATATATATATTTATCTAGTTATTTTAATTTTTTCTTATAATATTGAAAATATAAACTAATAATATATATAATTAAAATAAAAAATTCATAATCAATAAGCTCATAAATTTCTCTTGGTTTTAATTGGCTATCATTTTCAAATTTGTTAACTTTTTCTTCACAGTTCCTTTAAAAAAAATCTCAACCATTAATATGACTTACTTAAAAGTTTTCTAAATTTAGGTTGGGAGACATTCTATATTCATCTTTTTATTTATTTTGTTTTTTCACAACTAAAATCTTTCAATTTCTATTAAAAGACTCCATAAATATATATATTAGATAGGTCAAACTAATTTTAACTATAATTCTCTACCTATCTCAAGTCTCAACTTTTTATCTTTCGTGTTCGGTGTGTCTCACAACTCCAAGTGGTTGTCAATTGCTAAAGTCAGAAATCAAATCTTCTTATTCGCTCAAATCAATATAGAACTCTAAAGTTTCATGTTTTTTCATTCAAATTCTTTTACTTTGTTTTTTAGAAATTCTTATTTTATGTTGTTCATCGTTCAATACCTTAATATATTTGTTTAGATTTGTTTAGATTTGCTTACTTAAAATATCAATATGTCTAAAACAAACCATGCATAATATCAAAATTTAATTTTTATGGGAGGAGGAATAGAACCATTTGGCAATTTCATGCAACCAGAAATTACTTATTGCTCCTAGAAATTGTCTTTTTCTTAGAAAGGAATTTTGCCAATTGGCAGTTTCATGCAACTAGCAAATACCTGCTGCTAGCCAGAGACTCTTCTTTTCTCCATAATTTTCATTCTTTTTTCCTTTTTTTTTATTTTTTTATTCTAGGGGTGGATTTACCATCCAAGATCGACATGTTAACATTTCCATCAATATTTCTATAATATTTTTAAAATATATATATATCAACAAAATATCACTATCATGGACAGTTTTAATATTAATCATTTTTAACTAAAGAGTGAAATCCTTATTTGTTAATTTAAATATTTTTACGACTTTTACTTTTATTTTTTTTAAATATCCCTCGACATCGACATTGTATCGACATTTCCATGAAATTGAAAGCTAGCCCGGATATTTGAACATTTGCTTGAATTTTAAAACCTTTTATATTATTGGTTAAAAATATGCACAAATATTAATTAAAAATGCCGTTTGGCCTAGTGGCGTGCAAGCGGCTAGTTCTAACTCCATTATTCCCCTTATGATTTTATATATATGCCAAGTATTTTTTTTTTCTTTTTTTGAACAAATATATGCCAAGTATTTTTGTAAGTATTATATACGTGCCAAAATTGGATTTTCTTAAAAGGAAAAGAGGATATTATTAAATAATTTAAGCTTTACTTTATCTTTCATATATTAAATTTAAATATTATTGGGAGTAAATGTGTAGCCATTTTGAAACAAAAACAACATATTCAAACATTCTTTTAATAAGATATCAGATCAAAGAAGAATTGAATATCGAACTCAGATCAGTTATTAGGGGACAAAAGTCTAGGAGGAGCTTGAGTGAATGAAGTTAAAATTTTAATTTATTTACGAATTTTGAGATTGTTATAGTTATAAAATATTTTTACTGAATTTCAAATGGAAATTTTGGATCCGCCACATGTATTTCATTTCACATGTTTGGGGCGTGTACACCACGTGTTTAAAAAATACACCGTTATTTTGCATGTCAAACATGTGTCTCGAGTGTGTCTGAAAATTATATCTGTGTCCGTGCTTCCTAGATAAATAAACCGATAAAGAAAAGTTAACAAAAGAGTATAATGAGAGAGATAGGAGATTGAAAGTGGGTAGGAAATAAGAAGGGAGAGAAATTACTCCATTGAAGTTTGTATGAAACATTTATCCTCATCTCTTGTTTAAAATTGTAGCTAAACATAAATATTTTATATACCAAATGTTTTAAAAAGCACTTGTCGAAATACTCGTTGCCTATGGATAACGCATCTTATCGAGTCATCTATTAGCATCTAGCGATCGACAAGACATTTACAATTGCTCATTCACTTATTAGGCTACGAAAGTTAGGCAATATTCCTCAATGATTTTAGGTTTATGGTTCTCAATGCTTGAAAAAGTGAGGAAAATAATCTCTTAAGCATTTGTGCCAGCTTTTGTGGACCATTCTTGGACTTCAATTACTCACTCGATCGAGTCTCGACAACCCTAGCTTTATTTCCACACACATGAATTCCTGCACAAATTGGACAGCTTATTCATATTCCCATGCCCCCCCCCCTCCCTCTCGAAATTCGATATTTTTCAGGTCGATATAAGTATTGAAAATCATTTAGAAAATGTCGTATGAAATTATTAGAACATGTCTCTCGTAGATGATTTTTCCCACTTTGAAACTAATCGGTGTGAATTTGCTTTTAAAGATCAATAATAAAATAGTTCGTACCAATTCAGATGTTCGTGGGATTGTTTTTACACTCTTGATAATGTCGAGTCATCGATCCCGTCTATTTTTATCTTAAAAAAACAACTTTTAATTGGATCACAAGTTGAGAGATTGGGAATACATCAAATAATAATAGAGATGAGGATCACCTTTTGTTGACGTCAAAGGTAGGGAATGCATAAGAATATATGCTATATTCGATTTAATAGAGGAGAAAAGGACAGACAAAATCAAAGGAAAAGAAAGAAAATGAAAAGCTAAAGCCGAATATATTATTATGAAAAGACCGAGTTGTACAATGCCTCTAAATTAAACTTTAATTAGTGTAGGTTTTAACGATTACGAGATTGTTTCAAAAGTTTTAATTTTTATTCTTGATCTTTGAAATTGTTTTAAAATAATTTTCGGTCAACTTTTCGTTAAAATGAAGATAGAAAATAGAGATGTACGCGTGAGCGTACGTGGGTGTGAGTGTATGTGGTTAGGTTTCAATTATGCCCTTAAAGTTTTAATTTTAACCTTTAACCTTCCAAAACGTTTCAAAACAACTATTTCATTAGCCTCATCGTTAAAATAAAAATGGAAATATGATGCAATGGTCAGTTGTAAAAATGAACAAGATTAGATTCATGGGCACATATGCGGCAATGAACTATGAAAAAATAATAGAAGGTTTTAGTCATATTCAAAATGGATTGATTAGAGAAGAATCAATAATGGCGGATAGAATTTCAATTGAAATGAGGTCGTTTAAGGGGAAGACAAACATTGTGAGAAAAGTGACACAATAATAGAAATCAATAGGCTCATTGATTGGGAAAGCGACACACCGGAAAAGTCTAAGGAGATCGTAGGGTTATTAAGAGAGTGTTTCACGAGAGATCAGGAGTATTTGTTTGTGACGGAAAAATGATAGAAGAGCGGAGTTCGTTGAAGCTAAGAGAACGACAAAGAAAACGACCAAGGGATAGTGTTAAAATTTATCAACCCTAAATTTAGTTATCTGTAATTGCTTTTGTATGTCTCTCTTCCAAGGTTCATGCCCAAACCCTAATTTTCGTCAATAGATTAAGGATAAAAATAAAACTATTAAACGAATAATGACATAACTGATACATACCAAGACATTTAATAAACAAAATTGTTAAAAATACAGGGACTAAAATAGATATTTTGGAAGTAGAATTATCAAAATTAATCAAAGTCGAAAGTAGAAGTAGGAGGATTAAAATAATATTTAAACCTATTTTTTAAAAAATAATTGTAAGTATTTTACTATTTTCTCACGCAACCTAAGTATATTTTGACTATTTAAGGCATTAGAAATTCCCAAATTTTGAACCCCACCCCTAAATTTGTGATGTTATATTTTCTTATAACATAATCAAAATTTATCATCGATTAACTTTAGCAACGATGGTAATTGATACAATTTTGTCAATAAGAAAATAGTTCGTTCAACATGAACATAGATTAATGGTAAATAGTACTTATT